ACTGTATGCTATATGAAAGGCAGAAACATTGTGAATATGTTAAATAGTATAATGAACGCCATTACTAAGGAGATCGGTACGCTATTGAGTTCAGTCGATCATTACAGGACCACACCAGCTTATGTCGATGCTAGTGTGAAATTTCGATCTTTGTACGGATTTCTCATGACACGTAATAAGAGTTGGCAACTTGATGTAACATGGTACATCTTGAGATGGAGAAAGAGAAATAGCTAGTTCCAATAAACGTTGAAAGAATCAATGTAAAATTTTAGATCCAAACACACTAAATTAAGTGTTTTTTAAAATTATTTCTAGAAGGAGAAAGAATAGTTGTATTTAAACTTTGTTAAGAAGCTAGTAGATTAATGATAACTAAGTAATAGTTGTTTTTATTACAATATGAAGTAACTTTAACAAGCATTATTTATTATATAAATTAGAAATGGATAAATACTTGCAATAAAATTCAATATTCTAAATTTTAGATTTTTTGTATCCTATCTCCGTCGATCCATAAACAACAATGACACTCGAAGAGCAAATACAAGAGGTAGGAGACAAGTCGTGGTTAAATTGTCTTTACAAAAGAAGTTCTATGAAAACAAAACGACTTCCTCGAAAATCGAAGAGAATCATTTGAAATTCCTAAAAAAAAATTTCTAGATGTTGTGTCTCGAGAGCGACTAAAACTTATGCATGAACGTTTCGTCTGTTGTAGGTCACCACTGATATCGATGAAATCAAACGGGTGATTGACTCTACTACTCGCCCTCGCATAAAGCAAAATCTGAAACTTCAAAAATGCAAATTTGAAAAGGAATTAGTCCAACTTCAGGAAAAGCTGCAGAAGCAGCAACAGGCTGCTGCTCAAGCAGAAGAAAAATCAGCCAGTGCCAGTGCCCAATCAACAGCTACTCGATCCTACACAAAGGACATATCAGTCTATGGTAGGATACTAGTACAATAAAGATTTCTGTCTGTTTTCTACTATTGATTACAGCATGGGATCAAAGTGATAAATTTGTCAAGGTCTACGTTCAAAATCTCGACGGTGTCGGCAGCTTACCCGAGGATCACATCCAATGCTCCTTCGAAAAGAGGTAAGGACTTATGATCAAACTTTTCTCGGATTTTAATGAGTCGACATTGTACTCTCCTAGTGGCTTCCATCTGCAAATTCAAAATCTAAAAAATATCAACTACTTTTTGAAGAAAGTTGGTCTTCTGCATGAGATTCTACCGGATCAATCGACTTTCAAAGTCTGTATCGTATATCGAGTTATCTTTTGTGTTTTTTATGAATTTTTCGTACATATAGGCTAAAAAAGATATGGTCATTTTATCTTTACGAAAAGTCGAGCCGAAAAATTGGGAATGCTTTTTAAAGGACGAGAAAAAAGCGCCTATGAAGTAAGTGAAATCTTTTTCATACATCGATTTTCCTTATATTCTAATGTAGACCACTTCCAAAACTTGACAAAACAAAGGAATCGAGTGAATCCTTCTTGAATATGGTAGAGGAAATGTACGAAAATGGCGACGATGATACGAAACGAGCCATTGCAAAAGCCTGGGTTAAATCACAAGATAAGATGAATGCGTTTACCGCTGAATCACATGATAAAGAGGATTCTGGAATTCTTCGAACTTCCGATTTTACAATTTATCCTGCTAAAAAGAATCTATGATGGAAGGACTCTTTTATTTGGAGTTTTTTTGTGATATTTGTCTATCATGGGTGATTATAATTAAATAATAATCATACATCGATAAGGCTTGCTATTTAGATAAATTATTTTCTGACGACATTGAAACTAATCTATTTCTTTCAAAGACAGTTCTTGGTTACTGCCAAATGAGTTTGCCCGGAATTTGAAATAAATATCATCTGGGGCTTACTATTTCTATCATCATTATGACGTTGATAAAAACTTCGAGAGTGATGTTCTGTGAAAATCTCATCAAATTTTTTTTAGTATAATTCTTCGAGAGACTGACGCGTTGCACTAGATTCTTCTTCTACTTTAACTAAAATATTATCAAGTTTCTTTAATAAGACATCGTTTGAATTTGATGGCATCCCTTTGACTACCGAGGCATAAGAACCCCCAGAGGTTGAACCGCCAACCGGGATATTGTTTGTAGTTGGTTGTAGATTTGTATATTCACTATTTGCTGGAATCCGTTTAGCTAAGAGATTATGAGTAAGTGCAACACGATAGTCTTTTACCACTTTGCATTTTGAATCGTTTGAAATATGTGGTCCTGCGCAATGAATACCTTTTGGAATACTAGAACATTGATGATCGTGCAGATTTGGACATTTTTTCACCACATGTTTTGCACGTTGATTCATTTTTCTATGTACAATTCTTTCTGAAGTGCCCTATTCCGTAACAGTTGGAGCAAATCAATACATTGGCTTGTGTAAAAAATTCGACTACTTTTAGTTTTAAGTGCATGACCATGATTTCATTAGCTTCTAGTATTTCGTTGCGTAATTTAGCCGATAAAAATTCCAGTTTAACTGCACGTACTGGCTGTTGTGCTTTATTTTCTAAGTGTATGATGTCTAGTATGCCATGGTATTTTTCTTTTAATTCATGTACGAAATCTTCCCAATCAATTTGTAATGAGACAGCCGGTAGCACTAACGACAGTTGAGGCGGAATTGATGGACTATTTGTTGTAAATTCATATCCAGCTAATGTTGTAGGCCAGTTTCCACGTTCATATAAGAACGAAAAAGATTCACTGTTCTCGACAAAAACCGAAATACGACACTCGTTACTTTCTGAACGGCCACGCCGATAGGCTATCGTTTTTTAACTCAAAATGAAAATTTACCTTTCCATGTTTCATTAAATCTTCGATGACGACTTTTTCCCTAACTTGATGCAAGAAGATTACCGAAAACGGTGAGAATAGGCAGCGAGATGTAGCATATCGACAAGCGGCCATTGGAGGTTGTTGTTGGTCATATGTTGATTCTACGATGTTTCTTCCTTCCATGATATTGTAATTTAATTGTTCTTCATGATTTTGTTCGTAACGATAGAGTTACGAGCTTTCTTTTTGCTGCTGGTTGATTCCACGATGCCGCTTGTTAGGTGTATTACGAGCATTAAAAATACGAGTTGTCTGTTAATAATGAGGTCGTTCTTGCGCATTCGAATCCGAAACACCACTGATGTCGTTGCGACCTCTCTTGGTAGTAGCAGATATTGGTGTTGAAGAAACAGTAGGATTAGTCATTGATGACGTAAGCAAAACATTAGTATTAACAGGCGGATGATATGATGAAACTAACGCTTGCTATGGATTCATGTTGGAATGTAACATCGCTTGTTGTACATACGCAGATGGAACGTTAATAGTTGATGGTACTTGTTGCTGATAAAGTTGATGTTGAGTTACCATACTATTTGGTGGATATTGATTGACGATTTGACTATTTGGTGTAAGTTGAACACATACATAAGATTGAGGTAGATTATACGGTCGATATATTACTGGACTCGAGCCATAAGCCATTTGCTGCTCTTTCGATACTTCATGATTGGCACTACATGTAGTATTATTTGACGTTGTAATCGGACACCGATTTTCATCAGCCATTTGAACTGTTTTCTGTTGTTCAGATATATTAAAAGAGTGTCCCTTTGGAGAGGACATTTGTCACCAGAATCAAAAGTTACAAACTTAGATTCTGTGACCAAAAAAGAGAAAAAAAAAGAACGATAATAGCAGAAAAGAATAGACAAGAGCAGACGCGTCTTATCACTAGTAAAGCGAGCGAAGAAATGATCTTTAAAAATAATTGAAAAAATCGAATAAGTGTTTTATTTAAATATCAATTGATCATTCAAAATATAGATTATGCAGGGAAATCGAAACAAAAGACATATACAAATTGTTTTTTATCTGTTCTTTTTTCTAATAAGTAGAATTTTTAGATATTTGATAAAGAAAAAATTGTTAAAGTCTTAATCAATTTTTCTACATATTCGAGTAAAGTTCATATTCGCCTAGAGAACTTTAAAGACAAGAAGAAATTTAATGTCTGTTTGATAATTTTGATAATTATTTGTTTCTTTTAGTTTAAGTGAAGTATCTAATAGTTTAGATGATCTACATTCAAGATTATCATATTATGTATTAAATAACCTTCCTAATGAATATCTATTATTCATAAAAATAATTATTCAGAATTAAATTTTCGTTTCTTTTGTCGTTTAATTCCATTAATAAATAATTATTATATTGAAACAATTAAAAATACAAAAGGGTTTTTATGTTTTGTTTTAGATAAATAGAAAAATTCAAAAATTTGATGAAACAGTTGTTAATTGTATAGATGTTGGAGAAATTGTTGCACGACGATGTGCAGCAACAAAAGAACTCTAGATTCTAGTATACTTACAATACAAATTCATGTTAAACAAGGTGGTTTAAAATCAGTTGAAAATTCGAGTTGATGTTTGTGGAATAAATAAAGTTGATTTATCACTTTTTTGTGAACATCCTGCAACAATGAAATAAAAAAATGTTGATGATTTATATCATTTAAGTACTTACGGTTTTCATGGTGAAGCTTTAAGTTCGTTAAGTTATGCAGAACATGTTAAAATTATTAGTAAAATACCAGAAAGTCTATGTGCGTATATATGTGAATATCAAAATGAAAAAAATTCGACCATCAACATCAATTAAACCTTGTGAAGGTTAGAATATTTTTTTATTAATTTAGTATATCTTCATAAATTGAATATTATGCAACTTCTATTGAACTAAAATCATTTATTAATATTAACTAGTGTAAGCTCGTGCACACCGTACGACTGTTTTCCACTTTGACGTATGGTCGGAGACGTTTAAATGTTCATCTGATAACAGATATATAGACATTCAATATTATGCATATAGATAGATAGTTCTATCTCCTCATATTATCAAATCGCATATATTTCATAGTATACGTAACCTTATCCTCTCAAGGATCTATAGTTACTCATATAGAGCGACCACTGACACCCTATGCGTATTCCATAGAGCGGTCCTTAAGTGGCTATGGGTGCCAATACAGCAGTCCATCGAAATTTCCTCTTTTAGCCTTATTTTGGCGTTTTACCTTAGACCTGGTAACAGACATACAGACAACTATGTTTTATTATATTGATATCGATTATTAATTGAAATAAATCAAACTTAAGAAAAAAATATCATCTGTTTCATTATACAAAGAAAGATAGAGATCGAATAATGTCGGAATAAAAAAATAAACTGAATGATTAGAAGATTTTTGTTTCATAAATAGGCACAAATGGTACATTAATAATAGTTGAAGATCTGTTTCTATAATAATCCAATACGTTTAAAAATGATGAAATCAACTTCTGAAGAATATACAAAATGGTTGATTGTGCTATGAAAATGACATTACGTAGTACTCACATTTCTTTTTCACTTAAACTTGATTAACAAATTGAACCTGATGTTCATATGAATTGAAGAGAAACAATAACTATCTTGCAAAATATGAAATTATTAAATAGTGCTGAGATAGTTAAAGATATGTATGAAATAATAATTAATATTGATGATACACCTTATAAATTTTAATGTAAAGCTTATTTTACTGGAACATAATATTCTGTTATTTTTATTTTCGAAGCAAAAAAAACACTTTTTTTTGTTGTATTTCAGCGTTCATCAAAAAGTTCTTCAACTTCAATAATATTTATTCTATTCATAAATGGACGTTTAGTTGATTGTCAACCATTAAAAAAAATCAATTCAAAAAATATATACTGTTTTAGTTCATAAACAAACATCAACATTTGTATATCTTGATTTGGCAATGGATTCAATAACATTAGACGTTAATATATATCCAAGTGAACGTATTATTGTTCCAAACTCAGACAACCAAAAAATAACTACAACTCAGTTGACATTTTATACGGCTTGTTTATTCATTCATTTACTTGTTTTTAAATTAAGTTATTTGTTATTCTTTACAATCAAACTATTGGTGAGGTATTATCTTCATAAAAATATGATTAGGCATTTATATTTGTATTCTTTTTTCATAGTTTATATAGAATTTTAAATGGCATTGAGATAGAAGCTAGATAGAGAGAGCTGTAGTTTTCATCATTGAAAAGAGAAGATGACGGCGCGTCGACTTATATAGTTTCAGACCAAAATTTCCAAAGTTTTTTCAATTAATTTTCTACAAAGATACTGAAAATTTGCTTTTTTTTAAATTTCATTAGAAAAAACGGAAAACAGGTACATTTTTCTGAAAAATTAATAGAGAAAAAAAATCCTCTTAAAGGACTTGATCGAAAAGTCCGAGCTTTGTAGATTTTCTCTTAGCTCTTCGAATATACACCGAAGTACTGAAAATTCATAATTTTTAGTTTTCATATTTGAGACAATCATTTGTGAGTATATATTTTGAACATTCCTTCATTAGTGAACAAAAAGAATCAATCCTTTCGCTTCAATCCTAATACAGATAATCAACTTTTGCTTTGGTACTTTACTTATGTGATATCCTGTATTCATTTCGAAAGTGTCTAAACAAAGATTTATAATTTTGAAGAGGACGAATGAATGAGTAAAAAACTTAACAAAGATAAATTAAGTAGTATGTATTCTAAAGATTTTTTTGTTATCTATTTGTATTTCTATTGAATAAAACTATTAAAATAAATAGTTGCTTAAGGTTCTGATCATAATCGTGCTTCACTATCTATATCACCAATACCATTAAATCAAGAAATTTTACCACTAACTGGTATTGAACAAGAAACATTCATTCAACAAGCTCTTAGTGATATAAAACGTAGAAATGATTTAATGAAAACTATATCAAGTATTTATAATTTTGAACCAATTTATATTGAATTAATGAAAGAAGATAGTCAAAAAATTTTTAAAAAATGAAGAATTATTGCAAAAAGCTGATGACGTACTTGAAAGTATATACATTTTCTATAAAATATTCTTCTATGAAGATGTTGAGGAAGAAATTGTTGTTGATTTATTTGAAAGTGATCATAAAAAAGATCTTGGTAATAAAAGTAAATATGATTCAGTTGTATTATTCGATGAAAATATTCTTGTACCTGGAAAACCAGATGTTACTCTTTCATATAAATCTAAAACATATCGTTTTGCTAATGAAGATAATCAAAGTTTATATTCTTACAAGCACCATTTAAATATCTACCAATTAACAAACCACTAACAACTTTTGTCCTGTTTTTGGAAAAAATGACATTTTAGTAACAGAATAAAGTTTTTCCTAGGATGTGAGTACAGACAAGACTATCATTCTCACCCATACCTTGGC